GCATACCGTATATTGAAACTGCAAACAAATACAAATATACAGGCATATAAAAACAGATGATGTAAAAGAGCTTGATTTAATTCTCTCCAAGCTTTGCAAGGTGGAAGCGAGAAGGACAGAACCCAGACCAAAGGCACCTACTGGGTGTGTTTGTTGCTCATTTATACTCACCAGCATCTCTGCATTACTTTCTCTCCCTCTTGTTTAACACCTGAATGCCAAATCACACACCTGTGGATGTTAGAGACAACAAATTGAGAGATAACATGGGTCACAGATAACATTTGTGTGTGTGTGTGTGTGTGTAGCAGCAAGTGAATCAATGTGTACAGTATATGTGCCTATTTGTTTTTGTAGCCACAAATGTTTTAGTTTTAAGACATTTTACAGGATTCATGCTGGCAAAATAGACACCGTGACCCCATTGTTCAAATGCTTCTTTTACAAAATTTCAACAAATTCTTTACACATAAGCTAAATATTATTCTTGTATTTTATAAAGTAAAATACTGGTGGGCGAAGTACAAAATACACACAATGTGAAAAGGTGATTGCAGTTTGCTTATACAACGAATTAGCAAACATATCCAGGAGCAAAAAAAGGAGAAAACACACTGCCAATTAATGATATAATGTATTAATGAAATAAAAGCAGGTTGATGTAAAAAAATATGTGCCATACATGTGATATATAGCATTTTGTTTTCAGACCATTTTATCAAAGTTGAGAATTTACATTTATTTATTTAGCTGACGCTTTTATCCAAAGCGACTTACAATTGCTATACATGTCAGAGGTCGCACGCCTCTTTAGCAACTAGGGGTTAAGTGTCTTGCTCAGGGACACATTGGTGGATGTCTTACAGTGGGAATCGAATCCAGGTCTCCCACACCAAAGGCAAGCATCTTATCTATGCACCATCACCACCAAGTTAACAAATCATCAGAGCAGCTCTCTCTCTCTCACACACTAGACAGTGGAGATGAACTAAGATGTACAGCCAGGTAGATGAGACAGAGGGACACCTGTTCAAAGACTCACTACCTGTCAAACTGCCAGAATTGAGATGGATATGCCTCCAATACTCACAATAAACACAGTAATCAAGGCAGACATTTCACCAGCACTAAATGCCTAATATGCAACGCAAGTCTTAAAATAACAATTAGCTTAGAAATAGAGGAGGGGTGATTATAAATTCCATTCAGGAAAGCGTCTTGCCTGTAAGCTGGGAGGTAGCAGGGAGATGTCGGGGAGTCATGCCGTTCTGAGATGGGGGGGGCTGCAGTTTTTGCAATCAGCGTTAAATAGAGCAGTTTTGTGCCTGTGTGATTGTCAAGTGGGCCATTACTCGTTGATAAGAGCACTTTTTCCTTATGTCGCTCTGATTGGGCTGAGCATGCTGCTCCCTCTCACATGCTGTCCCAATGCAATCAGGCCCCTCTTTCACTGCACTGCCATTTTCACTGCTGTGATTTCCACCCAAACCCCCCACCCCCACCCCGTCCCTCCTCGAGCACCCCACCTCCCCCCTTCAGATTCGATGAGTACCCATTTACAGCAAGGAGAAAAGGTCATGCCAAACTCGTTGTGTCAATTGTAAACCACCCCAATTCAGACTGATTTCAATGAAATAAATGAGTAGTTGCAGCCCCAAAGAAAGCAAAGGTCCATGTGGAAGTAGCAAATTAGAAGATTTTCTTAGAGGCTCACCGGGGCCAAATGCTCATCGCTCTTCTTGAGGAGAGTCTCCTACATTCCTTGTTCTTTCTATATTTGGGTATCCTCTGTATCTTCTTTGATGAAACTTTTACAAAGTAAAAACATTTTTATCACTTTGGATATTGAAACATGCTGAACAGTGCCAGTTTTGCATTATTTAAGGGTGAAAATTTTCTGATGCAATGAACCAAAAATGTGTCAATATTTTCAATAATCATCCTCTTGTTTGGAAATATAGCATTATGTCTTTGAGAGGCTTTGCAGGTTATCGAGTGATTCTGTTTGTCAAAGAGGCTCTACTTCTTTATTTTATTACGTATTCATTGTTTAAGCACTTGTGAACTATGTTTTTTTGACATTACCTTTACTTTTGAATATATCTTTTTTTCCTTTTAAAAAACCCAAATGTAAAAAACTAGTGAAGTGGTAACTCTTCCCTTTGCCAAACACACACTTGCACATTTGATGATGGTAACAAAATACAGACATGACCATTTTATGCCAAATAAGGAATTGTTACACATTTTTATATGGGCTATGCATAACTAAATACATATGGCATTTGTGTGCCAAAAAGTTATTTACAGACAAATAAATGTTCAGTATTGCACTACATAGTGATGTTACTTATGTTTGGGGTCAATTAGAGGTCTGATGGGTCACATTCTGTAGTGGACTTGTGAAACATGACAGTTCTCACAAAAGTAGTACAATACAATGAACGATTAAGCTGATAAACAAAATGTTGAGTATGTTTCTGAGCTGTTAAATGGCATCCAGGATCTACAAGACCCCAAACTGAACATTAGCTTAAGAAAAGTTCTTGTTACAATATTATTATATTCATTATCTCTCTATGAAGACTTCCACACTGAATAAAAGGTGAGTGTAAATTCTAATAATGAAAATACTTTTGTTAAATGTATGTACAAGTGCTTAGTTGTATAATTCTCCAGTAGCCAATGTAGCCATAGTTGTGCATGCCATTGTGATCACTGACCTACTTTCTACCTCTCATAGGTGACCTGATGGAGTATTTATAGACCCTACTGTATACACCGCAGCAGCAGGATCACACACAGCTGGACGTACCTTAAAGCAGCAGAGCAGTACAACAAGTTTGTAAGTATGCTGACAGATGAGACATGTTTTTTTCCTGGTCCACATCACGCAAAACATTTATGAAGTCAGCCGTGCAATGTGGCAAATGAAAACATGGAACTGTCACACACTCAGATTTACATCTTTCCCAACGTCTGCAGTCATAGCAGGTATTCTGCAGATGGTGCGTTGGAGTGATAAAGACCGTCATGTCTGAGAAAGGATTTGTCTTTTCATGATAAAATGGTATTATTTGTTTTGATATACTTCACAGTAACACCGGCTTGGTGGCATTTCATCTCTCCTCTCACCTTTGACCTCTCCATCTGAACTCATCGCCGGGGCCAAAATAAAGCAGCTGCTCAGGACTCTATCGTACTTTGAAGTGTAACTGCGCTCAAAGAGTGCTGCAGTATCAAGGATTCGCAGAAGAGTGGATGTCTCACAGGCTGCTCCAGTGAACTGTCTGCTCTGCAGCATGCAACGCTTGAGATGTGTTATCTGATAAAGAGCATTCATCTCCACCAGGTGGAACAGGACACATCTCGATGGAGGCACGCTAACTCCTTTATCCCTCTGCGATGGTGCGATACGGACGCAGACGCATGCTGGTGCAGGTCGGACTGTTATCCCATCAGAACAGAATATAGCCTTTTGCTGTGTGTGTGTGTGGCGGTTGGGATGGAAGGTTGTGTGTGGCGGTGATGATGGGTGGGATTGCGTGAGCGACTGGGTTGAATGAGTGAGTGAAAAAAACAGATAAAAAGAAACAAGTAAGCAACTGTGTGTTGACTGTATGTCTTTCAAACAACCCAAAGTCCTGTCACTCCTGTCCTTCTAATCCTTTTTAAGTCTCTACATTAAAAGAACGCATCATGGAGTCTCTCACTACACTTGACGTGATTTGCATACAGACTTGGAGCAGGTGGGCTTCTCTTTTGAGCAAAGCAACTTGTTGGCAAAGTAATTAAGTAAATTTACCCAAGTACACTTAATCTTTGTATTTAATGCCTCATTGTTTGGGTTCCCACAGACCACACTGCTGAATGTGTATAAATAATAATACGGAAAATTGCAAATACCACCAATATTTTCCCCTTCGTTTTTTTGACAAAACAATGTTTGACTTGTTAAACAGAGCCTACAGTGCGTTCTCCAGGACCTCAAAACAGAACATTAGGGTGACCAACATTTATTTTAGCCTATGTTTAACAACCTAACACTCGGTGGGTCCTTCTGTATAATTAAGACTTTAAATTCTGAGACTTTTAAAGTACATTTTGCTGAGAATGTCTCTGTACTTTTACTTGATTAAAAGTTTAACGCAGGAGTTTTACTTGAATATTTTTGGTATTTCCACTTTTACTCAAGTAAAAGATGTGAATTGGCATTCCACCACTGCGGAGGAGAGAAGAGGTACCTGCGAGTGCAAGCTGTAATGTTTCCTTAACCTCTGTTAAAAGGACACAAGTTTGGATCAGTCAACCTCTGACTGTGTGCAGCTTTGACCTTCTCTTACTGTGACAGGGAAAATGTTCTAGAGAAACCTAGCTGAGAGAAAATAACATTTACACTCAGTTGTCAGGTCCACCTTGCTAATACAACAACAAAAAAGAACATTATAACAATGTACCTAATAAACTGAGTGTATATACTGCTTACGGATCCTCATGATAAACCAACAGTGAACATGAATACTGGCCATATTAAGATTCATAGTCTTAAACAACGTTGGATCACCAACTGGTCCCCAGAACCAGAGGAGCTCCAAAAGCCCCAATTTCACTCCATGCCAACTGGTTTTAACAATTTGACTCACTGTAAATTTGTTAATTTTATTTCTTCAAACCAAACCACTGTCCTACTAGGTTAATCTGGCCATAGTCTCAAACTGTAAATAAATTATATAACATTTTAGTAGCCTAAATGTTAGGTACTTTAGGTTCAGTGAGAGCAAACTGTCATACTCAAGTTCTGACAGCCTTCAATAAGCAGATCAGGTGTTGCTCAGATACATCAGGTTTATGAGGGAATTACCAGTGAAGGAAGAAGTATATGGGTCTTCTATTTATGGAATACCCCATTATAAAAATACTTAATTACAAGTAAAAGTACTGCATTCAAAATGTAAGCACAGAAGTATTAGCAGAAAATGCACTTAAAGTGTCAAAAGTAAGGCCTCCTTGTTATGCAGGATTGCCCCATTTTATATTCATATATTTTATATTACTGGATCATTGTGGATGAATTTTTATTTTGTATACTGTTGTGTAGGTTAAAAATGCATCACAACTTATTATAATCGCATGTTTTGTATATGTAGGATCTTAGTGTGAAAACGTAGCCTACAACATTGCCCTCAGAAGTGTAGTTGAATAGAAGCATAGCAGATAATTAGAATACTCAAGTACAACTATCTCAAAATGATACTTTTAGAATATAGTAGCCTACTTCAGTTAATAGCCTACTGGTTATTAGCCTACCTACTAAAGTGCATAATGTTGGCTGTCTGTCACTATCATTTTAGAGTTATGGTAAACTGAAATGTCAATTATAAGAATAAAACTGTGACAGAATGTATTTGGTTTTTCTCCATGCTGCATAAAACCACACGCAGAGCTTATTTCCAAAAAGGGAGGCGCGGCCAAAGAGGACAGGGAAAATATGAATTATGATCCGCCCTCCAGGAACAGCTCAGGGCCGACTGACTGACACACGCAGGAATCCTGGAGGAAAAAGAAAGAATAACAGCACTTTCACTTTACTTCACACTCCTGGACACAGACATGCGCTGGAAAAGTGAAGTCAAAGCAGAGTGTTGCGCCGTTAGCGAGGACGAAAACGGATCTCTGTTGTCCAACGATGAGGTGAGTAATGACATTTAAAGACAGGCGCACATTTTTTTTCTACCACCGTGCAGGCTTGAGGTTGGTCGGTGTGTGTGTTAAATATTAGTCGAGATTGCTTTGCCAATTAAATCAGAGTGGGCTTCAGCCTGGCATTAAAGTCGGCCGTCCACACGCTGACAGCTCAGTATTTTCACAATTTGAAGAAATGTCGAAGAAAATTACCCCTCGGTGAATTCTGCAATTAAAACTCAAGTAGTTAATGAGACCTCTTCACCTTTTGGTTGCTCCGGTTAGTCGTTTGGGGCGAACTTAGCCTTTTAATTGCTGTTATTAAAAAAATCAATCCCCCTTTCCCAGAGACCTCGCGCTGTTTTTTTGGGGGGGTTTGTCTTGTTTTTTTTTGTTTTTTTTTTTTGATTGGCACGTGAAATTGGCTTGTTGGGGTTTAACCACGACACGCGCGCACGCAGCGAGCAGTTGCCCGAATCCCAAATGTAGATCTCGAGAACATAATGCACATAGGATAAGTGTTAGTTCAAGTGTTGTCTGTTTTTGCAAGTAATGACTATCCTTCTCTTTTAAATGTCATTTTGGTAATCGCCGGCGTTGTCATGGTGAAAGGTGAAGGGCATGATATTTATGGGAAGGGGCAGGGGGCATTTAAGGCAGCTGCTGCAGTCTGACAGACCGACATCCTCTTTCCGCCGTGTAGCTTCTCGTCATGTGTGAAGATTGCAAAGGAGACGAAGGGCTGCCGGGCAGATGCACTGAGGACAGGAGAGACATGATGGTAGGAATGAACTGTTGCAGTTTAAACTAGATTTGATTCTCAAAAACAGGTCGGGAAATAACCAGAGGCCTTCTTCTTTGGGCGGTGATAAAGTTTTAAACTTTTGTGACTGTGTGGACAACAAAATGAGAACATTTTGAGGCAAATGTCACGAATAATTCTGCTCGGTTTGTTTGAAATCAGCATCTAAAAAGACATCAAATCTAGAGGCAGCCACTAAAATCAAATTTATTTTAGCCAATTAGGAAATGAGTGGGACTTTTATTTTGAAAAAATATGTTAGTAATTATAGTTATTTTTGCACTTTATCACTAGGCTGGTGACAGCAGCAATGTGTGAACTGGGTTCAAACATATCGTGTAGCCTAGTCTGTGCTGTAGGTATGGGCTGGGTGCGTTCCTGTGCGTAATTTTCTAACCGCAGGTCTGATCCCTTCAGGGCGCGCCGGCGGAAGTTTTGGATGAAGACGCGCCGTCGCTGCAGACTATGGCATCTGCGCCTCTGCTAGGCAGAGCGGTGTGCGCGAGCTGCAACGAGGACATTGTGGATAAATATTTATTAAAGGTAAAAAAACAAACACTGCCGGATCTTTTTTTTTGTGTGTGTGCAAGTATTTTTATTTCTGGTTTGCGAGGATCATTTAATTTGGATTACGGTTTTTATTTTTATTTTTCTCGATTGCGTTTGGATTTGTGTGCCTTTAGGGCTCGCGCTGGTATTCATGCGTGTATATACAGCGGGCCTGTAACCGTCCAACTGATTGACTTTAGCTAATTTATCCTCTCTGATTTAGGTTAACGACTTGTGCTGGCATGTGCGCTGTCTCTCCTGCAGCGTGTGTCAGACTTCGCTTGGCAGCCACACGAGCTGTTACATCAAAGAAAAAGAGGTTTTCTGTAAACTGGATTACTTTCGGTACGTGCATCGATTTTTGTTATTGTGTTATTTACCTTTAGACCAGACAATCGCAGCTACCGAAACGAAATTGTTGAAGGAATATTAAGCTGCCAAGATAATTAGGCCTACATATTATAGCCTATTGCAAATTGCTGAATAATAATAACACTAATAATAGTTGTTGGGCCTGACTTTTCTTTCTGCTTTGGCTGGACAAATATTCGAATGTAGTTATTTGCATTGAGTTAATGATACCAGTAAATAATAATAGTAATAACCAATCATTCCAAACTAAAGCGGTTTTTTCTTTAACAAAAAATGACTTGTCGCTCTTTAACTCTCATCATCACATGTAAAAGACAGATACAGTGTAGATGGAGAAGATTGTAGTGATATTGGATCATTGGGTAAACAACTGTGACTTCTATCACAAGGGATAAACTAAAGACTACAGCTGGAAGTCACTTCAATAATACTAATTTATACTTTAATTCAGGGCCTATTTTGTCCCAAGGGCAGCTGTTGCCTGTCATAGTTTTCCTGCATTGGTCCAGGTTAAATTCTATTCTTTTATTTTGGGCCTTACAAAAAAACGCCCAAATTTAACACATTGAGTTAAAACATTGGTATCACCCTTTCTGCAAATAAGACAAAAATGCCACGAGGCAACCATGCCGGAGTCTAATCTGCTCACCACGACCTTCACCTGCAGAAGATACGGCACTTGGTGCGCGTGCTGCGGCCGGAACATCCACTCCACAGACTGGGTCCGCCGGGCGAAAGGCAACGTGTACCACCTGGCCTGCTTCGCCTGCTTCTCCTGCAAGAGGCAGCTGTCCACCGGGGAGGAGTTCGCTTTGGTAGAGGAGAAGGTGCTCTGCAGGGTCCACTACGACTGCATGCTGGACAACCTCAAGCGGGCCGTGGAGAAAGGTGAGGGACTCGGTCCAAATATCGGAGAGTCTGGAACAGTCACTTCAGTTACTTCCAAGACTTTCCTACAGATTTGTTTCATTTTGAAATAAAAAGACACAAAATAAAGAAAATAAATACATGAAATTAAATATTTAGCCGTCACACATATTTAACAACATTCCGCTCATTTATCTTCTGAACGAGAAGTGCAATGTTGCTTGCCCCCTATTTTTATTGAAGACAGATCATTAGTGATATACATGTTTTCCAATATGTATATCCGGTCCTGAGAATAGTTGAAATGATCGACATTGAAGTGAACTTCAATTATTTCTAATGAATTGTTATTATTGCTTGCTGCTCCTTTTATTTAATGGGATTTAAATGCTGTATTTCAAAGTAAAAGGAATACTTAATTCTGTGCTAAATATTTCAGGATGTTTTAATATGAGAATACGCCTTTGTTGCAGGAAACAGCGTTAACATGGAGGGGGCTCTGCCCACTGAACAGGAGATTAACCAGCCAAAACCCTCCAAGAGAGCGCGGACCAGCTTCACTGCCGACCAGCTGCAGGTTAACCTCCACCATCACGTATAACAGACAGAGAGATACATCGATAGGCCTACATATAAAAGATAACCACTGTCTACCGAGAAGACAATAAATGCTTTCATTTTTTGGCCTCATTCTTAATGTAATTATATTTACAGATTTGTGTAATAAAGAGGAGTTCAATAGGGCAGATTACAACTTTGAGCAACTAAACACTTATTTGTTCAGGCAGAAAAACAGGGATGCTGCTTTTACATTATGCTTTTGTACAATTTTTCCTCCCTTAAAAATACTATTACTACTAATTATTATTATTATTATTATTATTAATATTATTATTATGTGCATTGTTCAGGGTAATATAATTTCAATGTTGTGAACAATGAATAGTGAATAATATATGAACATCATTAGGGTCATGTAGAGCAAGACAGGTGTCCAAAATGACCCAAAATGTTCATTTTGTTATAAGTATTGCTTATAATCACAGTTCTATATCACTATCTATATCCTATTAATGTGTCCCTACTTGACAGCCTTTATTCCAAACACATTATTTGTAAACAGCAGTGTTTTTACATAAACCTAATGGATTTCCTCACACCACAAAGTAAACCTGTAACTGATTTTCTTTTACCTGTGAATATGCAGGTAATGCAGGCCCAGTTTGCTCAGGACAACAATCCGGATGCCCAAACACTGCAGAAACTGGCGGAGCAGACGGGCCTCAGTCGAAGAGTCATACAGGTCAGTGGAGGACATGTGCATGGAGGGGAAATGGATGAAGGAATCTGCAGTATGATCGTAATAATTAGAAAGAAGCAAGAGTTCAGACATAACTAATGAGGTATATTTGCATAATACGCATCTGCAGGTAACACACGTATGAAACCAAAGGACAGACATCAATTCTGCCGTTAAATGATTTCCATATGCTTTCAAATCACACGTGTTTGTGTAAAATTTCAGACAGAATGCATGCTGAGTAGCAGAAGAAAGAAAAGAAACGCTACAAGCCTATAGCAATGATGTATTATTGTGAATCTTAATAGCTGGTCAAGGTAAAGCAAGTTTTAAATACTTTATATTCTGGTTTAATCCATAACAGTGCACTATATTTTATAAGTGGATTGTACTGTATGTAAATTATCCAGTAACTGTAGCTGACAAATAACTATAATCGAGTACAAAGTACAATATTTTCCTCTGAAATGTAGCGGAGTAGAAGTACAAGGTAGCACAAAATGAAAATACTAAGTACAAATACCTAAAAATGATACTTAAGTGCAGAAATTGAGTAAATGTACTCAGTTACCTTCCACCAGAAGGTGCATATGATATGTGAGAAACAGAACAACTTGTACATCATTTAAAGAGAAATCTTTTCACATACAAACTTTTTCTTTGAAACCAACAAACTATATCAGTCTTCTATCAAAATGCAGTAGCATTTACAGGCGTGTTCAAGGATATAATTCAACCAAGAAAACAACAAAAGTAAAACAAAGTGTGTGTTCAAAGTAACACAATAGGGTGAATCTAATTTACAGTTTCAAAATAACTACTGACAAACTATGCAAAGTTATTTGTTTTCCAGAGCTGTGGTTGCAGTCACCCAGCTTAAAATTTATGGTTGTGACACTTTAACCAGAGTTTCCACTGCTAAGGAGTGGTTCTTCCGACAGATCATACAGCAGACTGTGATAGTGACACTTTTGGCAAAACACACCTCTGGGCAGATTTTTCTCTTGCTTGTTCAGCCTAGATAGAGTCTCTGGTAAGGATGAATGCCAAATTCAAGTTCAAGTGTATCTTTATAATTAGGAAAAGACAAGACTACGACTGTGGTTTTACTCACCGGGGGCAAAAAAGACTCCTGGACTGTCACTCCATGAGATCTTTTGGCAGTTTACAAGCTACCCGCGGTATCCATTTCTGTGTGCGTATACTGTCGAATGCAGCTCTACAAAAGGTTTTTGTCCTGTTAACTCAGGTCTGGTTCCAGAACTGCAGAGCACGCCACAAGAAACACGTGAGCCCCAACCACACCTCCAGCACCCCCATGACCTCGCTGCAGACCAGCCGCCTGTCCCAGCCCACCCCGACCCCTGAGGAGCTGCAGTACACAGCTTATGGAGGCCCGGAGGGATCAATGCTGTCAGCACTACACTCCTTCATAGACAGTGAGCACCGGCCCTTTTATAATGTTTTGTGTTGAGATTGTTTAGAAAGTTTAATGTGCATCACTGCTCACTATAAAAAACTAATTGTCATATTCCTATTTTAACATTTGAAATATCTTTTTTTTACTGTACATGTAAATTGCCCCAAACCCACATATGCCTAAGTGTGAATCTATCACGGGTAAAATGGGGTTTCTGAAAACAAAATTTACATGTGAACTGATTTATTTAAATTAATATCTATAAGAAAAATACAATTATTAGCATCACAGTATTTAGTGGTTCTGGTTTATTTAAACAGAACTTTAAGTATTAAGTAGTAAGAGGTACTAACAAAAGGTTGCCCATCACCTCCTTTTTTTTGGAAAACATGTATATGCTGATTTATGTTATATTTAAGTAACGTTTAAAAAATCTGTTCCAGAGAGAATAGAGATCATAGACAATTAAAAAAAAAAAAAGTCTAGAAACAAAAGAAAAAAAACAATTAAACAAAGATAACCTTTTCTCTTTGATTAATACTTTAAAAGATGCAGCTTCAATAAAAGTTCAGACTTGCCCATACACTTAAAAGGATAAATATTTAAAATAATATGGTTATCCACATACTTTTTTCATTAGTGACTAGAAACCAGCTCTTCAAACAAACCATTGTTGCTGCTTCTAGAAGTAGACCATTGGTCACTTTCTGTATTTTTATGAAAAGTGCCACCAGTCACCAGATCAGAAGGGGAAATACAAAAGCTTTCACACATGGTCACGATAACTGCTCTGTGTCCGGTACATTTTTATTGTTGTGAAAATATAGATGGTTTTAATAAAGCAACATTCAAATAATCAGGATTTTTATATTGCTGTGAATAATCTATAACAATATTTGTCAAACTGAGAAAAAGGAAGCTTAAAGATGATATTTTTAATACCATTGATGGAAACTGTAATGACTCCAGTGCTCTGTGTGTGTGTCCGCAGTACACTCCCCTCCATCCATGTTTCAACCGCTGCTGCCCACCCACGCTATGACCTCCTTGCCTGTGTCTCACGCCTGAGCTACACACACACACACACACACACACACCCTCAGACTTTGAGAACCATAAAACCTTTCCTTTTCTTGAACTGCCAGTAAACCATTACATGTTGATATTCTTTGAAAACACACAATTCACTGTTGAGCAGCTCACGTATGACTGAAAGTCCTAAATGTACAGTTTAATGTACCTCATACGATTGTGACAGATTTATATTTGTTTGTGTAGTTGGTGACACAGTCTGACCGTGCCCACAGTGTCAGCTCATTATGAAGGTGAACTTGAAATTGTTTGTATAGCAGTGTTTGAATATTGCATTTTAATTTATTTATTGTATGTGAAGTCTGTTTTGAAAATAAATGTCTACTTTCACAAACCCGGGTGATGAACAAAATGAAAAGAGATCCCACATCAGGACAGATCCAGCGACAGCGGACACGGTGTGGAGTTTAGACCTCAGTGTGCATGTTTAGAATTTAGGAAGAAAGTAGGTGCATAGTAGAAAAAACGTTTATTGATAAAAATAGAAGTAACATCTATATTTGAATGATGAACATACACACAGGCAATATATTCTGTTAAAAAAAACATGCAACTTTTACCGTATAAATAAATATGAGTGATTTATAGTGTCAGCTGTCTGCACACATGAGCAGCAATAAATAACAGTTTGGTGTATCGACAGGTTAGAGCAGTGCATCTTCAGAGTCAGACTTTTAAGAGTTTGCGGTAAGAAACCTGACGCACATTCTAACCAACAGAGACATTTTACTTGTGTCTACTTGTTGACTGTGGTTGACCAAAAGAATCTAATTTCTAGACATGGGAGGGAGGGGGAGGCACATAAAAACACTTTTTCACTTATCAGATCCCTCACCCTCATGGGCTAAACCCGTGCTGCATGCACACATAGATCCAAAAGACAACTGGGAGCATGGTAGTTATTCAGAATTATATAAAAAGAGGAATAACTCGCTATATGCATAATAAGTCACACTGAGCAATACATGCATCATTTCTCTCCTTTCAGATACACAAGCAGAGTTGTTTTGCTTTTATTGAATGGTTACGTCGTACGTGTCCCGGCGTGTTCAGCTCCAACGGGGGCAGAAGTCTGGTGGTGCTGTCACTCCGAGGCACCATGAGGGCAGGTTCTCAGGTTTGACAAACACGCTACAAAGACCCACAAGCATGAGTCACATCTCAGAGATCTAAAAGGTGAGCATCATTCCAAGTGATGCATGGACACATTTAGGAAAAAGAAGACCTCACCAGATGTCTGATGTCTGTAAAACACAAGGGCACCGTGTGTGAAACTGCCAACAGCTGTGTCACTCAGTCACCCTGCTGTGCCAACAGCCTGGTGACACCCAAACCTGTGAATAACTCAAAGGAATTCTTCAAGCATTTCCTGGATTCTGGCTCCAGGACAAAAACAATAATGTATAACATCAGCTGCACATCACAGGATTTCAACAACTTATCAAATATTCCATTAAACAGACAAGACTACACACCTGCATCTTCCACATTACTGGTTATACATACTAGTTCTATTTGGCTAATATCTTAACAACTCTACTACTACTACTACTACTATGTGGGACCAGCCCCACTTTGGATCAATAAGAGGATCTGTAGTGACAAAAAGATTTACAGATAACTCCAACAAGAAATGTTGGTATATTGTTTAGTTTGCTAATCTTTAGAATTAAGGTGATATTCGCGCATACTCTTATCTGTAGGGTTGAAGCTTCAGCCTTCACAGAGTACAGTGGCAGTTTATGCCACAGAAAAAGTCTAAAAATAATGACATATACTTCTCATTTAAGCTAAGAGAAACTTCTCTGCTCTCCATCTGTGTGTCCAGTCTGTTTAGACACTGAAGTAAACAAATGGTCAGCAGAGAAGTGGATTATACTGCAGGTGTAAGCTTGAGAAGTTTCTGAGGACATCATTTTTCACTTTTTACAATCGACAGGTGGGGGCTCTTTAATAACAAGACAGATTTTGGGGGTGTATCACTTAATGAGCAGCCAATCATGACATTACACACATTGTAACGGTTATAATGCTTCACGCATATATGTGCCGCTATCAGCCGCAGGTTAAACATTAAAAAAGACAGCACCGTGTGTAACAGATAGAGGGTCTGTGTTTCTTTTCGGCTGGACACATAGGTTGCTGCTGAGAATAAACCTGTGACTCTAAGGTTTAGTGACAACGTTCTGCTTCACCTTATATTCCTATCTCTAACACTTGGAAAAGACAAGAACCTTGAGCACTGGCTGCTGACTATCCCTTTAACAAGTTCTTGTAAAGATTTCTGAAAAGCATCTTCAAATGTAAGCTCTGTAGCTGCACAATGCAATTAAATACTCACTGTGGCAATTTTAAGAAAAAGGCACTTAAAGACAGTGGACACTGTGGCACATAGGTTTCTCAATGTGAGACAATATGAGGTCAAAAACTGTGATAACACAATACACAGTCGACGTTTGACCATTTCATGGAAAAATAGTTAAATCATCTGAGCAGTTACGCCTCAGCAACAGTACAAGACATCTGTTAATGACTGGCGACACCAAGTGGTGAAAACCAGCTACTACAAGAGATTAAGAACAAAAAACAGCTGATGTTTACCACAGTCTCAAGAAAGAAATCACCTGTTCCGATAGGAACCTGTTGACGACTGTGGCTGTAAAACATATACAAAAATATTTCAGTTACAACTGTAACATTTAAAAAAATATAAAAAATTAATATGATGGTGTGACTTACACCTCCAATACAAAGACTTTTTTTTTTTAACACACAAACTGAACCTTTTAGACATAAATACCAAAGAACCATCAAGACTATAAAAAATTAGCACATGGGTGAATCTAATTATTAAAGTTACTCATCTACAGTTTGTCCATTATAGTGTACAGTTACAACTTGTGTACACTTAAACTATATTTGGCAAAATGCTTATGGCCACATGGGCTTGTACCATGCTTTGGTGAATGATCTTCAGTCTTTGACCTTCCGCCACCTTTGGTCTTCTCTCTATTCCCCGTCCGCCGTCTTGACGTTCTTCTTGTTGAGGATTTTCCGCAAGGTTCTGTTCATGTAGAAGGGCCGGCCAGGAGAGCCGTCATTTGCCTCCAGATCCCACACTAGGAGGCAGCAGTAGTAATGTGTTAAAAACTGAGACTCTACTTTCACCGAATTTAAATTTAAAAACCGGAGACAAGGTACTTTGAAAATGTACTGGACAACACTTGAACCATTAATGTTTATTCAAAAACATGATTCACATTTTCATTGGATTTCATTGATAAAAAAAATTCCCCTGTACAAAAAGAACACTGAATAGCCTCGAGACAGATGCGTGTATTATACTTAGTATTAAAACAGCACTACATCTGAACCATCCAATAAAAAATTTACCAAAAATGGCTTTGACATCCTTTTATAAACTGTATCGCAAAAAGGTTCCTGGTGTTAGGTCTAAAACCACAGAATAAGAGGAACAATTTCTTTTTTTCTTTTTTCACAACTAGGCACATAAACTAGTGGCTGCATTCAGAAGTTTCCTGAAAACTGTCAGGTCCTGTTCTTTATCTTTAAGCAAAAACCATACTTCATTTGTCTTTTGAAGTCTTGACCTCCCACAAAGTCTCTGTCTGGTGTACAGTACATCTATGACCATGATGGAAACTTTGAAATGATTGTGACCTTTTTTTTTTTTTTTAAATGGTGTAAAATAACAGAATCTGTGTTTGTGTTAGTATAAATATTGTGGATCAAAGCAACCTATAAAACCCGATGGTAAAACATCAACAGCCAGCAAAATAATCATGCTAGACAGAAGAAATTAATCACACGATTCTTTTTCCATATGTGAAAGTGTATACACTTTTACACTAGCAGACCAAAGTGCGACAAGAGCGTGCCCCGTAAGTCCACCACTTTTTTTAACGTGATGCCTTATGCCATAGTCCATCAGTGGCATCTGTACATTTTAAGGTCCTCATGTTTGTTTGGATGAAAATGCTCATATTCATCTCAGCCTGTGTGTCCGTCTGGCGAGTTGACACGTACCCTCTTGGTAAGGCAGAGGTCAGCAGAGAATACAGAGAAGAAAAAAAAAAATAGAACATAAGCATGGCAGAAAAAAAGGCAAGTATCTGAGTTGGCTCAAGAGAGGAAGTAAACAGAGGTCTTTTTCTAGTCCCCCCAATGCCTTTTCTGTGAGGAACTGAAATGAAAGCATGTCCTTTCATTTCCAAGTCGTCCCTGACCAGGCTGGGATGCATCCAGTTTTGATGTTTAGCCCTACAGTACTCGCTCTCAAATGTCCAGACCCCCACATACATAGAGTAGATATGGAGAAGTGAGTGAGAGAGTCACGAGTTCAGTAAAACGGCCGCACATCGCTCAGGAGGTAGTGCCTAGTTTGGCATCCTCCTCCACTTTGCGCAGGATCTTGTGCAAGCCAGGAGACATGTAGTAGGGCCTGGAGGAAGAACCATCGTTCCTCTCCAGGTCTTCACCTGAGACCGGGCAGCAGCACAGGAGAGGAGGAGCATGAGGAGCAGACAGCGCACAGAGTGACAGCCAGAAAGAGAAAGGAAAGCAAAGACTTAGTAGAGATAAATGATCAAAAAGGATCATGCAGGAATAAAAGAGAGCTGAATGAGCAGGAATCAGCTTAGAGCCAGTTTTAAAAGAGGGAAAGAGTTACATTCATCTGCTGACGGGCCACATGACATTTGAACTTTAACCTTCATAGCAGTGCTCGGTACAAGTAGTCATATTCTCACAGTGTCGTGTGAAGTACTCAAACAACCAGCATACTTACAAAAGCACAGGAACAACGTGTCCACACACACGGCATAGACGTTAAAAAAGCCATGTGCAATCATGTAGGATCCCAATACCACCGTCTGAAAGAATCAACAGGTCGCAGTCAACATTTATCCTGTGACGTGTCTTGCATGTTGATGGAAATCTGCGTTCCATTAAACACCAAAAACATCAAGAATAACATGAACCAACCAAACTATATAGCTTGTGCGGCACTGCAATCTGATCTGAATAATAAAATGGTGTTAAATGCAGTTAAATGATTAAACTCCATCAGTGCCATCCTTTGCAAAAATGTGAAAACATAAAGGCATAATAAGTTTAAGCTATATAAAATATTTTATTGGTATATTCCGTGAGAATAAGTTATGTTGGCATATATTTGCCAAACTAACGCTCCAGCTGCATTTTCCCTCTTTCTCTAGTTATTTTAACAAAACGCAATTACAGGAGGACTTAACTTAAATTTACTGAGTGAGACATACAATGGATAATGGCGAATGATTTTACAACTTTCCCAGCAGGAAGGTTTTGTACCTTTTGTGTCAAGTCAGAATGCAAACATGTCTCAACCTGCTGATTCAGTCCCAGTAGTTGCTGCTGGAGCTCATTAAATAGCCCACATTTTAATTCCTTACCAGAAGGGGGACCCAGTAGTAATTTAAGGACGGCACCTCCGCTTGAATGGCCGGTATTTTACGTGCAAAGAAGAAAAATGCAAGAACACCTGGAAAACATAAAAAAAGAAACTAAATAACAAGCTGAGATTAAAAACAAAGATGTGGGTACCTTGACTGGAAATCACCCACTACAGCCACAGGAACAGAAATGCAACTCTATTTACCTGCATGTCATCAGAAACATTCAAACACCATACTCAAACTGTATAAATTAAAATGTGTCTATCAGGTGCTCGAAATGAATTCCCTAAACATTTTATTCTATAATGTTTTAAAAAGTATCAGAAAGAGTGAGAAATTATTGGTTTGTGTGATAAACAGCATCACCTGACAGAGCAATCAACATAATGATAAACATGGCATCTCTAATTTCTTCATTTCAAACCATTGAAAGGTTCATTTATAAACAAATATAAATACATTTAAGTGATTTTTATTTTTTAAATTAACCAGGATGGTTTCAGTCAAAAAGCAGCTAAATGCTTTTTGAACAGGTGCTACAAACATACATACTTGTACACACATTTTCACATCAGTGAAACCTAAGGATAAGTAGCACAATATTTTATACATGGGATTTGCAAGTGTAACTACTAGGATTCAGTACAGGATTCAGTGACTCCTAAAATTGAATGTAAGAGATTTTTGTTCTTTTCAAAGGCCGGCAGGCAGCATGTGCAACAGTAAATTTCAACTTATAATGATGCAAACTGCGTATGTGCATGGCAAAAATAGCTGGGAGTGAGAGGATTCATCATTCCTCTTAATATTCAGGAGGATGTCTCATCCCGTCTCCGTCTATGCTGCTGTTTATGACACCTCACAGGCTGCGGATGACGTGACACTCACCGACACTTCCTGAAATAAGCAGTTTTCCCAAGAAGAGCAGAAAGTCTGTCACCTTGTCCAGGACAGCCACACTACACAGGAGGCAGAGAAAAGCCAGAATGGAGAAGAAACAGACAACAGAGAATTAATAAGGAAATGTCATGCGCAGCGAAACAGGCTCAACAGAGATCTATGGAAGTACACACACACACACACACACACACACACACACACACACACACACACACACACACACACACACACACACACACACACACACACCATTAAATACATGATAATAAGGAAAAATGTGCAACTGCTTGAAACACTCATTTCTTGATAATTTCATTGACTTACCTAAATTATGTTTGAGCCAAAATCTAAACATCTTTTATTTTTGTTAGCCAGGCATGTAAACTGAGTAGAAAAAACTAATTTTACCCATTAAAACGGAAAAATGTAACTTTATGGTAGGGCTTGGTGGCGGTACTAGAAACCTTTAAGGTACTGACCGAAATAGCCCATTACCAAGTAGTATCGAAACATGCCTAGTCAAACAATACTTTTTGTAACCAGATTTTGCATGGAGCCAGTAAGCCTCAGCATCAGCTGAGGTCCCAGGTTTGTTCGTCATTGTTGTAAGTTTCTCACCACAAGCTTGGCTTTGCATTTCTTTCATCTTCTGATATCCTTTAACACTCCTCTGTACATTTTTATTTGCAATTCACATTACTTGTCACTGATCGATCACTACGTTCTATCATATCAATTCAACGCTTTTGTGGCGCAGCAGCACATCAGCCGATTTTACTCAGGGAGCCTCCGGATGCTTATGTCAGACGTAGTCGGTATGGTCGACAAAACAAAAAAGACAAACAAACAAACAAACAAAACAACAAAAAAACTGCCGTTCTTCTTTTGATGATACAAAACGTGTGGAAGAGGATGAGGAGCGATCTGATACAATTTTCCAATAATTTTAATTTTTAGATTTTAATATAACAGTTATTTCAAACAATTAAAAAGAAAAGAACGTAGATCACATTGCTTGACCATATCAACAATACAAATAATGATCTATGGCTTAACAGGTGGCATTTTACGAAAGGTATCGAATGAAGTACTCTATAGGTATCAGTATCACTTCAAGGGTACTGATTTTGGTTATTGTAAATGTTTAAATGACACCCAGTCTTACTTTATGGTACGCTAAGCAACAATGACAGATCAGCTGACGCCTTTTAGGTGTGTGGAACTGACACAGACCTATAAGTTAAGTTCTTACCGAAGAACATTCCTCATCAACAGGAAGAAAGCATCCTTGGAGGACGTGCAGAAGTTCTTCCCATATATTGCTATCTGTTGTGAGAAAGAAGTACAGAGTGCTTGCTAGAGGGTAATTAGGCACTGAGGTACAAGCCAACAGCTGAACTGCTAACAGATACAATAAATCAGTCCAAACTACTAGCAGAGCAGATGTTTCTTAACTCACCATAATGTATGCATTTCTGTTTATAAACTTGATGAAATGTTCCAGGCACCAGAAGCAGCATTTGAGGCAGCAAAGCAGGAATCGAGCGCATACATTCTGAGAACCTGGGAAAACATCATCAATCACCAACATCCCCATCTGAAACAATCATTAAATTGTGCGAGAGTGGGAACGTGTGCTTTTTAGTTAGCAACGGCGTACCTTTCAGTTTGTGATGCAGGTACTCGAGAACAATTCGGACCATCTGCACCACAGCAAGGATCAGAGAACCAAAGGCAAGAGAACCTGTGTGGTAACTGTGACACAAGAGACCAAATGGAATAACAGACATTTGACCATTTGAGTAGCAATCTCAGTAGATTTAAAAAATGCTAGTATTGGGGAATCTTCTTTTTGTTCTGTTATTTCTCAGACAAATAGGCAACTCAACATAGAACTCTAGTATTTTGTAAAACGTAACATCTCTTTCAGTGCAGCTCCCTACCGTATGGCTCTGCTAAAAGAGGAGTACAGGGGGCAGACAGGGATGTCGTTTGGCTTCTTCAGGGCCCAGTAGTAGGATGCAAAGGCCCCGGCCAGGGTGCATTGGCCCAGCGCCACGGTAAAGTTGACCAGCCAGAGGAACACGAACACGTTACACAGATGGAGGACTAAGATATAGCGGTGGTATGCGCTCTCCCCACCATAGAAGGCAAACAGGCATTGTGACCCGGGGCACACTGTGGTGATATTGGTCTGATGGAAGGTCTGAAAGAAAGCAACAGATTTGGATATTCAGACAAGAGTAATGTGATGTAAAATTTGCATTACACTAAATTCATCACAAGGAAAACTACACAGAAACAACAATGGTGGGGAGGTGGGGGCGGGGGCAGGCAGGCTAATAAATGATTCAAAATGATTCTCACACAGAACTCACTGCCAGCTACTAGATTTTACGTGTAGGCAACCAGAAGCTCTTTCATTCTTACTTTTGATTGATTACAGTTGGGAGAATGATGAAAGACTGATGGAAGAAATATTTCACAGAGCAGAGTGGCAGAGAAATCACAAAGAATCAGAGACACTGGTATTTTGTTTTTTAGAAGGAAACATAGCAAAATAAACCCACAAATTCCAGACATACACAGAATTTCTCCAGCAAATGCACCTGATTGTGTTAAGAGAGCAGCGGGACTAACCTGTGGATTGCATGTGAGGTTGGCATACATGCATTTATCGTCAGTAGGTGTGACCTTGTAGACCGCGTTACCAGAAGATGCTAAGAAGCTGAGGGCAAACTAGTTATGGATGAAACAATCACCGTTTACTGATAAAATATATTCAGTTTTATTTTAATACATTAGCTACATGCTACTTACAAAAGAAGTCATCTCACGCATCCAGCCATTACAATGCTAGGTCTATGATTTAGGACCCATGAGCACTAGCTTGTTTCCATTTTGCTCTTGCTTTTTAAAAAACCTAAAACACCAAGTGAAAGAGAAAGAAGCACTGTTCATTTTCTATATTAACTCCAGTACTGTATGATTTGTTTAATAAGAGGTATTTACATATGATCTTTATATTTATATATGACATGAACTACCACAGGCTGCATGAATGGCCGCAGAATTCCTCTACTTCTATGGATAAAAGAGTTCATCGGCGTAACAGCAGTTCAAAGGATACACCGCTGTGACGGCCCAGTAAGCGAGGCAGATGGCCAGAAGGAAAAAGGTGATGATAGGGAAGAAGAGAGTGGACATGATGTAGCTGATGGCCCTAGAAACAAGAAAGATAAAAGATCTTGTTGAATTGTGTGTTGTATGAGTGAAATAAAAGTCAAACACATTATTATACGCTGGGGTAGGCAATTTATTTCAGAAGCATTATTTGTTATATTTGTTGAAATTCTCTTTACTCCCGACAGCAATCAATAAATCAAATGCTCTCAAGTAAACTCAGTCCGAATGAAGTGATTGACTGGCTGGCCTACCTGCCTACCTGCCTACCTGCGTGCACTCTGCCCGTGCACTCACTGCGTATGAAAATATGTTTTGGTGGCTTTGGAGGGAGGGGGTGGGATTTTTCAGGTTATTTTCCAAATCTAACTGATGATTTCTCCATTGTCATCTACCGAAGCATTAAGTTTAACAAGAGTCAACAGAGCTTTTACCCATACTCACTTGCTTCCCTCCTTCAGTAATGCAACAGCGATGCGCAGCCTCATCCTCAGAAATATCAGAATGATCACAATGATGGCCTCAATCACAGAAAGTGAGATCACTGAAAACAAATCAGATGTTTAATTATTAGTCAATGCTCATAAAACAAATATGTTTTAAGATGTCACTTCAGCATTTAAAGGTATGGTAGAGGAGGACAACGCACTGAAGATGAGCCACGTTTGGCTGAGCTCAAGGTAAATGCTGAAGTCTGTGTGGAAACCGATATTAGAAATGGTGGCGTTGGCGCCTGGCTTCCCGCTCAGAGAACTGTACTCCCAGTAGCAGTGAAAGATACCTGGGAAACACAGAGAGAAAGAAAGGAAGCCAGGGAAGGATGCAACAAAATGTAAGACAAATCTAAATTCGCTACAGTTTGCGATGACAACAGAATTGCTCGCAGGAAGATAGGTCAAACGTAAAACATGTCGGCAACATCTCTGGTGATGTGGCAAATGTGTACAGTGCATACTCACCGTAGCCGACCACAGAGATGACACCAATGATGATGAGCCACAGGAGCACGCCAGCAGTGTAGCGCAGCAGCAGGATGAAGAGCAGACTGACCACCATGGTTATCACCAGACCACTGCAACAACACACATACACACTGGCAACTGACTCGTATTTGTAAAGAAATTAATTTAGTAAGACGTTCTGTGATCAGGAACACATCAGGTGCTATCTGAATACAGTAAATTCCACCAATGTGGGACTTTAAGCAGGTAGTCCAGTAGGCAACATGAGCCATAAAGAGAAGTGAAAACATGAAAAGCCACAGTCGTTCTTACATGAGGATCCAGTCCCAGGAATTTGCATAATCTTCAAAGATCTTCATGCCAACTTCTTTTGCATTCAGCAGATTGGCAATACCTCTGTGACAAAATGGTGACATGGTGAGATGGAAGAAGCGGGAGAGAGAAGAGGTGACAAAAACGAACTTAATAAAGACACAGACAGGGGCGGAGGCAGGTTTGTGTTACTGCGTCTAATTGTTTACTTAGAAGAGTTTCACAGAAACACTGACACTTCATTTATTGTTAATGCTCTGACTATGAAGCAAAAATAAATACAGTTTCAATTTGCTTTTGATATTCTCAATTTTAAGACCTTCTTATCAGGTTATGACAGTCTGGAAAAAACATTTCATATCAAAAGCCACAAAACAGCATTAGTGTTGCAGAAGCACTATTGAGCAATCATTTCTTCAGTATGGTAGTAAATGGTATAGCAGCATGTTACTGAATGGAGCACCTAGTGGAACAGAACATACTAAAATGATGTGTCAAGAACCCATTCACTTCTGTTCATGGTACAGGCACGTGTTTGATAACCAATGAAAACAAAATAAGTGCTTCAAATACTCAACAGAATGAATATAAATTGTACTGATTATGCTTGACTTGTCACCGGAATTCATCTTTATCTAAAAATCGTGGTTTCAGCCTCAAAATGAAACTTAAAATCTTAACGTAACCTTTCTCTGGTGCTGGACAAAGACAACCCCTCAATCAAAGACAAATGAGTCAGCATAAAACCAAACATATTTGTAGTCTAGTCAAAAATAACATAACAATGACTGTCCATGGTATTGGCTTACAGAAAAATCCAAGGTACTCTGATGTAAATGTTAAAAATATTTTATTAAATTATGGATAACAACCACGGCTTCCAGACAATTTCTTGTATTTAAAGAACTCTTGTAACAGAAATCCGAAAAAGACTGTGATGTGGAGATTTCCACATCACAAACTAGTAACTTGCATGGTATGAATTAAATATTAATGTGAAGTCCCATTAAATGGCACAGGATAGCTAAAGTTCAGCTTCTCACTACAGTAAAAAGCTTAAAAATTAAAACTGGTAGCAATGTCAGAACATGACCACTGCAAAGTTCGACCGCAGACGCACTGCCCTATGACTCAGATAAATCTCTAAAGCCCAGACAGGGGAGGGAAAGAGGCTACGGGACAAACAGAACAATGAAAGCCGTTCTAAAATCAACCTTATGATGAAGAGCTATAATTCAACTCCCTAAAGGGCTTCTCCACACACCAAAGTTTGGATCGTATCCAGCACTGTTATGTAAACTAGATACAAAATTCACATCTACATCAAGGGAGCAAACATAATGACCACCAGGGGGCCCCATATCACTCTCTATTTTAGTTGACACATGAAGTAGTAGGTGACTTGATGTTTTGAGGTAGATGTGTCTGCCACAAACAATGTGTATTAATCTGTCCTAATTCCTGTCCACCGATGCAGGTGGAGGGATACAGGAACAGATCCTTCATGCTGAAGAGCACGAGTGGGAGGATTAGTCTACACAAAACTACTGGCTACAGTGGAGGCAAAGTTAAAAGGCTGAAATGAATCATGTTTGAGACCTTTCCACTCCGTGCTGCAGGGCAGTTACTTGGCTACAAAAAGAAAAGCATTAAAGTACATTATATTTCCAGGTGATTCATCACAGCAAACACAGAATCATGTATGTTTATAATTTCAGCTCACTGGTTCAAATACATGATTGCTCTGCTTGCCCAAAGTTTGCTATCTCAGCCCATTAACATGTTGATAGCGCAGATTAAACAAAGCAGCCGATGTAAGCTTGTAGGTTCCCCTGAAGTTCTACTCTTGAACTTTTGCGGGCAAGCTGCATTTTCAGGCAATAAACATGCAAATGACTCTGAATGTGGTTGGACACATTCCTGGGCATCAGTGACATGCCCAATTGTCCTACCCCATAATATCTGTCCACAACTCTCTGGGTACAAGGCTGGCAGCCCTATTGACAGTATAACAGTTTTAAAACATGTTACAGGGTAAAGTATTTATGCATTATTTTTTACTACAGCAAGAATTCTCCATCTAATGTTTGTAACTTTTATACTTGTACTTGAAGGACTAAGATTTATGTTTCAGGGAAGCAGATCTTACTTGGCAGCATCTTTGAGGTCGCTGACACTTCTCTTGTTATTGTCGCCGTCTTTGAAGATGGTCTCATTGGCTACAGTTAAAATTCCATTTCTTGTTATGAAATCTGGGAAGCACCGCTGGAGGACTGAAACACATTTTTGATAATTTATTTGTCTTATGTGGCTCGGCAAAAAAACAATGAGCTATTGTGGGTTATGTGTTTAGAGTTCACTTACAAGGTCTGCTTGGCACGATCATAGACGGGCAGTCTTCATCTCGTATGACTTCTGCAACTGACTGAAAGCGAAATAAAGGAGACGATGATTCAAACAATTGAAAACAAGATATTTATTACTGATCATTCATTTGACACAGTATTGTTCACAGTTAAAGACAAAGTGGAGGGCCTTTTCAATTCAACTGATCTTTCCTGTCGTGTAGGTTTCTGTATTTATGTAAAACCTTGTGTGCCTTGCTGCCGTTCATAACTCATGTTCAGGAAAACAATGATTTTAATTTAGACTTAACAATGAGTCAGTTTTTTCTTTTATTACATTTTGGATTTCACAATTTAGTCTTATGAACCAAATAATTATCATAAGTCACATGCATAACATTAGTACATTTTACAAAAATAAAAGTCATTTTCAGAACAAACATCTCACTTTCAGATTTTATGTCAGCAACGTTTTATTTTCAGTTATTATAGCATTGGTATTATTAATCATTAATAATCATTATTCCTGAACAAGGCCGAGGAGTCAGATGTGACAGAGCTAGACTGAATCCTGTCATAGTTGAGATGATGTTGGAAATCAATGATTCAGCTCAAACGGTATGACTGAGCTGTTAGGTCCTCCCACACACCACCTCACTCTGTGGTTCTTACACACCATCACGCCAACGTCACTGTCACCGAACTGCTGCCAGCCGACAGAACGGAGCAGCGATGTGCATCAGTGGTTGCTAGCTCATTTCCGCCTGTCTCTCAAAGCGCGTTCTAATGAGCTCTCCATTATAATGACTATACGGATCAAACTGGTGGAATCTGAGGATGTCTACAACAGAAGAAGAAAGGTCTAAACTCTCGTAAATTTGACCCTATAGTAGCCCTCCATGACTGAATAAAAATTCTGGGGACAAGTACTGGAACTGGAACTTAGGAGCCAAATAAATGACCTGAGGCCTCATTATGGAAAAATCACTTGTCGCTGGCTATCTATGTAGCTTGATAGCCTAATTTTAGCGACTAGTGTGAGTCATTAATCGTGTTGTTTCCCTTCTTCATTGTAATTTCGATACAGACCTAACAACCATAGTGCTGCTTTTACTAACTTTTGAAGGACATTCTTCAGTTAGGATGGCTCTGTAATAGCTAAATTCCTATCTAAAGATAAGAGAGGATGCAGTTAGGAAACGTGTTTCTGTACCATATACCAAAAATCCTAAATGTCATCCTAAACTGAAATAATTGGATTTTAGACTAAGGAACTTCTGTAAAGAGGCCCCTGGTCTCCAAAACATTAGCAAGTGAGAGTTCCATCCACAAAAGGGGTTCAATAAACTTTCATCTTTAGTTTGCAAAAAAAAAACACACCTCTAACCACTGGCTCTCACCTTACTGCCAATCTCAAAGCCTGGTTTGCAGAACTGCTTGTAATATTCCCAGTTGTTGGTATCCAACGCATCCAGGAGAGTGGCAAATCTGTCAGGGCACTTGGAGACACAGAGCTGCAGGAGGCAACACAACCTCTTAATGAGAACGCCCATCAATCTTGCATAATCAAGCATGACCGAAAAGTGGGAAAGGAACATAACGCAGTGTAAAAATGTGCTGCTCGAAGCGGCTTCATTCAGACTCCTACCTGGGTTGTAGGGCACTGGAGGTTAATTAAAACTGTAGGATTGGCACATTTCAACATGTTGAAGTAGAACAATATGGCTTTGTTTCTGTGGAGACAAATGATGAGGACAACGAGACTGGCCCAATTAGAAGGAAAAGACTGAAAAATAAGTCCATTACTGTGCAAGGTTTTTATCAGCAAGCATTTAAGCACACACACACCCACACACTCAGAGAGAGAGTGAGTGTACTGTGCAGTACAGGCTGCCATAATTAATCACAAAACATCTCCATGTATTGTGGTCAAAGCGTTTGTAAAGCGAGTGTAAAGATAACAACGGAAAGCTGACAAATCGAGGAACATAATTATTCCAGTGTACAATTCTTTAAGAAAGATTTTTTTAACTCACGCATTGGGGGTGTTCTGCTGGCCACAGAATTGGCCGTGGCTGTCGGTTGGATACACGACCTTCCTGGGGTCGCCATGGATCCAGGCTGAAAACATACCACAACGGTGTTTTTTGGTTTGAACTTAACAGATTTTAACATGTGTAGCCACACTAGACACACACTCCTGAAACTGTCAGTGCCTTGCTCTCCCTACGGAGTACACAAGGCCACTGTTCAACACGTTTCCCTCCTTAACCCCGACTCTCTGCGGGTCCTGAATGACACATGCTATCAGCCTTGGAGTGTGCAAATCAGAGACCTTGTCTAGTTGTTCATGTAACAGAGAAAATGATCAGCTACCTAAGGACAAACATTGCATTATCATTTAAGTGCAGCTGGATCAAAGAGTGTCCCGTATAAACAATAGGATTTCTCAGTTGTATGAGTGTATCAGGCCAAGGCCATGTGAGTCTCTCTGCATCCTAACAAAAGGATAAAAAATGCAATTAACAAGACAACAATGGCCATATATTTGAAGTATTGCATGTATGCATATCAATTAAAAAGAAACGTCCACACACACAAAAAAATCAATCTAGTTTAATTTGCTTTGTTGTTTTTCTCTAGATAAGAGTAGCATTAACCCTGTAATTCAATTTACTAAGCAATTCGTGTTTCATTTGTTTGCCCAACCTGAAAAACACAGTGTTAAGGTGTTTCACCTTGCCGGTTAATGAAGGATCGAGCTGAATGTGAGACAGCACGACAAAAGTGGCCTACAATTTTTTGACACAACAAGGATGACGAAACTGAAAAATGATGCAGAAAGAACACCATGTTCTTCAGCTGAATGCAGACGTGTCACTGTCTATTTGAAGTCACATCCATTGTCATGCCTCCTGCTCTTTTTAAATGATTGGGAAACAGTAAGTCCTTCCCATGCCCAGATTGAGACGTGACTCCACTGACAATGAGCTGGGATGGCACTTTGGTGAAAGAATTAATTTCCCCCTAATATGTGATGTTTATCATACATGTTTTTGAAAGAGGGAGCAAAGAAATGCGCGGCCAGGTGTGCTGGATAAAACAGTATATGCTTTTGTATGAGAGAGGGGGTAAAGAAAAGTGGACGGAAAAAAAACGAGAGAGGAATAAAAGTAGAAAGAGAGAAAAGAAGGCAAATTATAATGGGAGAACTTGAAGGAAGAGTGGATGAAGAGAAAAGGATAAAGACGACGTGGACTCTGTCACACTCGAGTGAACTAAACAGCTTCAAGACAATTTGAATGAAACGAGAGCCAGAGGGGAATCACTGGTCATCCAGTCAAAAACTCAACAGGGACGTCAAACAGCTCTGCTTACACAATCACCTCAACCGGAGTGAGCCATACAAGCTCAATGTTGTGGTGAGACTCCCACTTATTAAAAGAAAAGCCTCTGGGCTCCACTCCCCCTCACTTTTAAACAAATCAGACATTTTGTGAAATTATGAATAAGTCAAACAAAAACAAACAAACAAACAAACAAAGAAAACAGCTTGTTATCTCCAGAAGTGTCGGTGCATCCTGTGGAGAGGAGTGGGTCCATTTTGTTTGTGGTAAAATACTGATTTTGTCAAATGTCTGATACTTTTCACCTTTCCCTTGTACGACCTGGCAGAACAGGATAAGTCAGCAACTCACACTTCCAGACCGTGACCAGACCAGAACATGTCACCACTGTTGTGCGTGTGCTTGTGCATGTGTGTGTCATTATGAAACTTTGTGTGATGTAATCAGCAGCAATGTGTCAAACTCACCCACGGTACCCAGAGCGATGTAACCAAGGATGACAATGATGAAGATAACACAGCAAACCACATCAGTGCAGCTCCTGGGGAGGAAAAAAATGTGTGAGAACAAATAGGAGATGTGTGACACGGGAAACGATTACAAGAGGAAAATAAGGTTATTCGTGAATGGCTGGTTGTTGGATGCTTTTGTCCAAACCAGTATCACGAGCAAATCCATGTGCTAATGCATCCCCCCGGGGGGAATTGGGAATTAGCATCATCTCAAGGAGAATAAAAAATGTATATTGTGTTGGACGACATAGCTGCTGTGTGGAGAGTTTGAGCTCTATATCTGGGTGCGGTGCTTGCCACCAGGCATGCAAGGTGTCATCCGTATGCGGTGTTTTCAAAAAAAGACAGTAGTAGAGCTCTACTGACTTTCTAATGAGACTCTGGATCCCCCCCCCAGAGTTAACTGTCCCACAGGCACAGAGGCAGCTATTTGAAGATTGCCTCTCTCCCTCTCTACGGTAGCCTCAGTCTGCTGGTTTAAAGCAGCATCTCAGAGTCACTCTCTCCGAGTCTTTCTTCACTGTCATCTCTCTCTCATAACAAGCTTCCTTCCCCTCCTTACCACCCTGAGAGAAGCTGTCAGTCCAGCCCCCCCTTCTTAGCCCTCTTTCAAACCTATTCAGACTATGAGCACTGAGCCTGGCCTTGAATGAAGGGGAGTTCAATCCACTGTCCCCGGTAGTACCAAGGAACATATGTAGCCTCCCCCTAACACCACCCGCTACACAAATTCACTTGAGACCCTCATCTCCACCAGTATTCAGTCCTTCTCCTCTTTCATCCAGAGGACCAAGGCCAATGTCAAAAGGAGGCCCGAGCTCAGAGATGTGACAGTGTTTCCTCTGTGTAGTTCTGTGAAGAGTGGATAGTCTTTGTTTTGTATGCAGCATGGTTACATGATTCTGTAAAAGGCACCGTGCACTGTATGTGCTCTTCAGCCTCCAAATACTGTTCCAGGATTAACTAGCAGACAGTCAAGAGGGACTAGAGCACTGATGCACACAGGATATCAGCCAAGGATCAACCCATACAGAGGATAAAATAGCTTAAATGGACACGCATTTACACAAAGATGAAAACAAGAAACAAACATAACTATTCATTCTGTGTAGCATCTTTGATTGTATTAGCGTCTTAGATTTAGGCTCAGCTGTGTACTGTAAGCTTGCATTGCAAATTTTCCTGGTCTGACTTTTATGGTCCTGCATTAATAACTGCAGTAAAATTTGCAATCTATGTTAACAGGCTGCTCTGGTAGATTGGTTCGCAGTACTTAGCAATATAGAGGACTGGGAATCTTTTTAGTCTCAGCCGGGAAGGCTAAAACTCCCTGTTTCTCATTTTCAGAATAAGATGAGTCCATTATCCTAATTCGTATCTGAATGACATTAAGTAGATACCTGCAAATTCAAAATGTAATATCTCCACTCATAATCTGAGTAGAACATTTGGAGCTGGTAATAATTGACCCATAGACCATCTGCTCTGCATCTCCAGGCAAACATCACAACAGCAGCCGAAACAACCAATAGTTTATTGGGATTACACTACAGGACAACTTGAAGAGTGTGTTTGGCTAATGGCTAGCTCCAGACTAACACTTTTGGCGACCGGCATGAAGCTCAAGTACTCTATCCCACAGCTGCTAAATCTCAACAACTGCTCCATTCTAATGTGCATTGCAGCCATCAAAGAACTTGGACTTCAATGCCGTCCGCGTTACATCCACAGAAATTCCCACTGAAAGTTTGTTTACCATCAGTCTGGCCAAACTGCTTCAAACATTCCACCCATCTGGACCACTGTAGCACGTCTGCTGCATCATCAGAGCATTATCGCTCTCGGTGCTAGCAACACGGGAAACATTGCAAGATCTCTGCACGCTCAGCTGAGCAGCACAAGAAACACCGCGAGATCGCTCCACACCAATCAGGCCAGAAAACGTGAGGTGGATTCCAGTTTACTACGACCTCTACAGAGATTCACCACAGCATCAACACTCAAAATAGAACTTTTCAATACACAATCCCTCACAAATAAAGCATCCTTCATACAAGACCACTTCATGGACAAGGGACTTCATGTGCCTGACAAAACATGGCACCAGCCAGGGGTTTACTCAGCGTTTAATGAAGCCCCGGTTACAGCTACCTGGAGAGAGCCCGCAGCACTGGTCGTGGTGGCAGCCTAGCTGTCATACACCGACAGAACTTGGAGCTATCCCCCCTCCCCCTGCCTACACTGTCCTCATTTGAATGCCTAGCATTTAAATGTAAACAAGCCTCCCCCTCACAATGCTCCTCATCTACCGGCCCCCCAAACCCAACTCAGCTTTCATTTCAGAGATACATGACCTTCTCACAACACTCTGCCAACATTTTTATACTTGGAGATTTTAAAATTCATGTGGCCATTCACCTTGACCATAGACCTCCAACATCTCTCCTCTGCCGTTTTCTCCTCAGTCAGAAGTCGGTTGACTTCTACAACAAATCTCTGAGCAGTCTCCTAGATCTCCACACACCTGTCAAAACTAGAACTGTCAGCTTCTTACGCTCAGCCCCCTGGTACACCTACAAGCTCCGGAAAATTAAAACAGCTGGGCGTGTCCTTGAGCGGCGCCTCAAGGCCTCAGGACTCACTGTTCATAGGCAGGCCTACTGAGAACATCAGAAGTCCTATGCAGGCTCCTTGAAAGATGCACGTTCACAGTTCTATTCCAACATTATCAACAACAACCCTGGCAACTCCAAGCAACTTTTCTCTAACATAAATGACATCCTCAAATTGCAAACTCACTCTCTTTCAGAGGCCACAGAAGAGAGGTGCAACAATTTCATCACTTTTTTCAGAAATGTAGTAGACACCATCCGCTCCCTGCTATCCAGTTTCTCAACACTGCCTGTCCCGACTGCCGACCCACAGCCTGGGATTTCCCAACCTCTCTACTGTTTTTTTGTCATCTCACAGTGAGAGGTTGAGGACATCATCAAAAAGATGAAACCGTCCACCTGTGCCCTGGACCCCTTCCCCACAGCCCTGGTAATATCCAACCTCATCACAAAGGTTATTAACCACTCCCTCCAGGCTGGCCATGTTCCATCAACACTGAAAACCATTGTCATCAGGCCTTCTCAAAAAACTCACCCTAGGCCCCGAGGTCTTTGCCAACTACAGGCTCATCTCCAACCTTCCATTCCTTTCCAAGGTGCTGGAAAAAGTAGTTGCTGCACAGCTTCAGGACCATCTAAAACAAAACAACCTGTTCGAGAAATTTCAGTCTGGTTTCCGCCCTGGCCACAGCACAGAAAAAGCTCTGGTGAGGGTCACAAATGACCTGCTGATGACTGCAGACGCTGGCTCCCCGTCTCTTCTCATCCTCCTGGACTTGACTGCAGCATTTGACACTGTGGACCACAACATCCTCCTTCCCCATCTACATTCCACTATTGGTCTTTCTGACTCTGTCTATAAGTGGTTCTCATCCTACGTCACCAGGAGAACTGAGCATGTCGCCTTGGGAGAGTCTAAATCCCTGACACACAACGTCACCTGTGGTGTCCCTCAAGGCTCAGTACTCGGCCCCACCCTGTTTATCCTCTACATGCTCCCCCTTGGCCACGTCATTAGCCGGCATGGAATTTCATTCCACTGCTATGCTGATGACACTTAACTCTACCTCAGGACAAACCCAACCCCCTCTGCTGCCCTGCAATCATCCACTCTAACCACCTGCCTGGAGGAGATAGCGTGGACGAAGCATCACCTTTGAGGCTCACATCAAACATTTCTGCAAGACCTCCTTCTTCCACCTCAGGAACATTGCCAAACAACATTCCCACACTCACTCCTGCAGTTGCGGAAAAGCTTGTCCACGCTTTTGTCTCCTCCAGGTTGGACTACTGCAATGCGCTCCTCTCCGGGATCCCTGAGAAAAGCCTTCAGAAGCTACAGTGCATTCAGAACAGCACTGCTAGGATCCTGTTGAGGGTGTGCAAACATGACTACATTACCCCCCATCCTCAAATCACTCCACTGGCTTCCTGTCTAACTCAGGATTGAGTACAAAGTCTCCCTCCTTACCCACCAGTGCATCCATGGTGAAACCCCCCACTACCTCAAGGAACTCCTCACCCCACAGACCTCCACACGTGCCCTCCAATCTGCCTCAGCGTATCTTCAGAAACCTCCCAGAACCAAGCTCCGTACAATGGGAGATCGGGCTTTCTGCTCAGCTGCTCCCAGTCTGTGGAATGCTCTCCCTAACTACCTGAGGACAGCACAGACTGTGGATGCTTTTAAACGTGGCCTTAAAACCATAGACTGTATATAAAAACTTAAAACCCACCTTTTTAGGAGAGCTTTTGATTGAACTCTTGCTTTTTTCCTTTGCCTTATTGTTTCTGTTTTTATTTTTCATGCTCTCTATGTATTTTTATTTTTAGCACTTAGCTGTCTTATCATGTAGCACTTTGTGATTTGCTTAAATTTTACAGTACATTACAAATTAAATTTATTATTATCATTATTATTTTGACAGTGGATGACAGAAGACTAAAATAGCGGTCGGCTGCCATATGAAATAAGGTACAGGGATAGGGATGGGGATCATTAATTTTTATTTGTATTGATACCATTATTGAGACTGCTTAACAATCCGAGTCTTTATCGATACTTTACTTTTATTTGGTGACAGTTATTTGGTAATATGAGAACCAATGGGGATGAAGAAGGCCTGCACATTATGAGGAAAATATTCAATGTGCAATTATATATTGAGATGACATATCACTCACGATAAATAAACAAATATTGAAGTGTGCATATGAACTCCCTAGTTGTTTTTAAATTAATTATAAGATTAGAATTTAATATTTCAATACAACTGTTTTTCTAGAGCAGCAACATGTTGACAAGTTAACATGTTAATGTTAACAACAGCAAATAAACTCAATATGTGACATCACAATACTGAGTGAAGCTTGGAAAGAATAAAAAAAAATAAAATAAACTCAGTAAGCATCACTCCATCCTCTTCCTCCTCTCTTTTTGCAGCTGAGTTTATAACAGTAGTTTGGAGCTAATTTAACTTCACCGTCTCCACCGCAACAGAGCGGCATCTCTCTCTGCTGGGCTCTGTGTATGTATGTAGCAGCCGACAGAGCAGCAGAGGCTGCAGTCTGATGATAAACAGTCCTGGGTCCATTTAATACCGCGTTTCGGTGCCATCACTAATAAACATTAGTTTTATTATCCATCGTGTTTCAAGTTAAATCAGATTTGACGCTCGAGACATAACGTTATATTATAGGACCTGCTAGTCTCGATAGCAGTATCGATAAGCTCGGACCTTACTGATTTTCGGGTTTTGAGAAATTTTGGAACCAGGTCCTTTTAGAACCAGGTATGGATCCCCATCCCTACTCTGTGACTTGTGAGACATATCAAGGTCGCACCTTGACCATTTTTCTCAAAGCACAGCAATTATTTTTTTGGAGATAATAGAGATAAAAAGGCAGCGTAAGTGGGCACAGCTCTGTCTGGTGAAGAGAGCCACAGTTTCACACTGACAGTAAATATCAGGAGCATAGAGACAACCCGCCACACTACCAGCAAAGCTGCTGCTGATATTGTGCATATTATTAACAAAGGGAGACAAGGGAGTACCATTTCATTTAATTCAAACGAGAACAAAGCGAAGAGCTGCCCGGGTTGCCATGGCAATGGTTGTGTTCCTCGTCTTTGAATCCTTCCCCATCCTTGAGCTAGCAGATAAGTAAGCTATCACTCAGCCACACATCAGAGGTGAATAACGGAGCTGATCTGAGGGGCGGGGGTCTGAAGCCGACCTTGCCGCTCCTCCACTGTAATGTGACTGTTACTTAGACCTGCCTTGTTTCCCAGCTCACTCATAGAGACACCATTATTAAGAGAAAGTGCAGACGCAGCACCGCTGTGCCGATACAAAAGTCACCTTTGAAGCATGCAAAGGTGAGCGTTGAAGGGAAGCTGACAAAGTGCGGGGAGTGAAAACAATTCTACTTTGTTCTCTTATCTCAGGAAAGCAGGCCACACGGACTGCGAGTCAGACCCAGAATATAGTCCAATTGTAAATCTATTCGGACCCCAACCCGGCCTGGTTCCCAAACTTAAGATCTCCTCAGATGTCACTTACACATACCTCCACAGGGACTAAAGCACTGCCCCGCTTGCGTACTGTACTGTCAGTGCAATAAGAAACTTTTGTGTCAGAGTTATATTTGCAAGGGCTGATATTCAGCAGGAGCCAAGGTGACACAGATGGCGGCTGTGTCACAGAGTAGCATGGGTGCCATTGTGGTGTGAATGTGCCAGCCTGTCCCTGCTTTATAATAGATGTTAACAAGAAGGGATATTTTGAGGGCCAGATTTGCACACAAAAGGAATGTTTCTCACGGTCAAGAGAGCAAAGAGAGACATTTGTTCAAGGGAGCAGCTTTTGTGATGAACACAAGGCTCCTTTGGGTAAGTTGTCACACATGCTGTGATGAGCATCTGATTTGTGGTTACATTTGTTTGTGAGTACACTTTTGTAATAAACCACCTACTGACAGGTCACTATAAAGGCATTATTACATTACAACACGGCTGGGCAGTTGTGGCTACATTTTTGACACCGATTATATCCGTGTATGATGCTGCTTGTAGCTGGAGCCAGTTTCAATTAACACTACGCCCTGTCCACTTCTGTCTGGCTGTTAGAGGGCTGCTCAATAACCACAGATACGGTTACTTCATTTAGACATTGAGCTTGCGTGAAAACAACGACCACAGAAGCAGTTCCCTCCCAGTTCTCATTAAGAAAAGCCTCTGAGCCACAGAAACATCAAAGTATCCTTGGTGCCTTCACCCAGCTGTAGCAGTGAAATGGGCTGGAGAGGGTGGGATAAAGAGACACAGGAGGACTGAAACATGCCTTCACAGCAGCCTGCCAAACTGACACTGAACATAAAAGAGATAAGAGCCTACATTACCTCAGAAAATGACTAAATCATCAAGAAAAGCCTGCGAAACCCTTGAGGAGTTTTGCTTTATTGCAAGATTCTGCTCTTTATGGTGCTAAAGAAATTAGGCTTAAAATGTAGACTTTATTGTAAAAATCCCATATAATCATTTTTGGAGGGAAACTCTTCAACCTGAAGTTTATAGTTCTGTGTATCTAAATGCACAGTATCACATCTGTTTTGCCATGTAATCTCATTTTTTTAAGTTCCAAAATGATCATACAGTTGACAATTTTATGTGGTTTGAAATTTCATCTTTTGTGTTCTATTCTCAATATATTATATTGAAATAATGGCATTTTCTAAATTATTATCTCAAACAAATGTCTCTGTTTGACTAGGTTCAAATAGCTTTTACTGTATCAGGGTATATACACAGGAATCCTGAAGTAAAATTCAATACCTTTTTAAGACCTTTTCAAGACTTTTCCAACATATTTTAAGACTGCCGCACCACTTTGAACTGTAACCGATTAAATCAGTCACACACCTTTAAAAAGGGACATTTGAGTTTTTAAAAGGAATTTAAATATATTTATAACATATTTATTGCCTATATGTCATCAGGTAGTAACCCAACCTAAAAATGGAGGCATTCACCAACTTTCTCAGTTGCCTATAACAGCCTGTATGGGCCAACTATTTTCTACGTGAAGGACTGGTCAGATTTCCTGCGAAAAGCAATTGTCTTACATAAGCTATGACGTTTATGTACGCAACATTACAGCAAATCATGTGAAACACAGTGTAATTTTGTCTTTTAGTTGGTTTAAACTAGATAATGTGAGCTTGCCTGCAATGATATGTGTGATAACTTTCATCGACCACTTGATCAATACAACAAAATTCAAATAAGCCAGGAGGGAACAAAGATGAACAGAATAAACTGAGTGATGAATAACGTAAGTAGTGTAGGCGGTGTAGCACAGGCACAACTGGGAGGAGGAACTAGTCAGCTGTTACAGCTGTTTCAGTTTGGGGTTGTTTTTTATTCATTAACTTTGTGCAAGAAAAATGCTCTAGGCTACTTGATAGTCTCCAACATTGATGGTGGGCAGGCTACTAACTCGTCAGCAATCATAACCATTTATGCAGAACAATGAGTTCAACATTTATAAAGTTTGCTGCAGCACATCAAACTTCAAAAAAATCCCGCTCCATCCAGGCTGTGATTGATCTGTGCACAAATGTGCTCCCTGAATTTTCCCTGTTGTCTTCTGTCTTACCGATTCAGCTGCTGCTTGTTTTCCAGGAACGGGGCTGTTCAAGTGGCCATAGAGCGACCAGCCAACCGGGTTAATCCCGTTACTCCTGACCGCCACTCCGACTATGTTTTGAACAATTAACAATAAGTCCAGCGGGGTGGGAAATTACGGTCGGTTTTACTCGGAAATCATTTTCCGGTTCGCACGGATCTATTTTTTGGAGCGTTTAAGAGTGAAATAGGCGCACGGTAGATCCCTGCGCCTTATGTTATAGAAATGAATCACACAGTCGCTACTCACTGCGTGTTTGGCTATACATTATAAATAAATACGTTCACCTGCACTTTCAGCAAACAAAGTTTTGGACAAACAGGATTTTCACATTGAAAAAAATATCTTCAAAATGTAATACCTTGTTAAATGGCGATTAAGACTTTAATACTTTTTAATGTCCTTAATTTTCGCAAAATTGATTTATTACCTTTTAAGACTTTAAGACCCCGCGGACACCCAGTGTATGTGTTAGTTTAGCTTAATCAAGCAGCATGAGGTTGCTTTTTAAACACTATCTTGGAGCGCATGTTTCAAATAAAATCAATGCCGACAATAACCAGCTGTTATGTCTGTAGAGTTCTAGCCCTCATGAGGCAGATAGCAGACTGCAGTTCCTCAGGAGAAGTGCCACTTAGCATGCTGCCGGACATTTCACTCTCCCCCTGCAGTAGCCCAGGTGCACTTGCACTACATCATTTTGGGTGTATATATGGCTGGTTAATCGTGTGTCTATGGGCTAACTCCAACCACCAGCTGGACTTATGGCGATTCATCTGTGTGGTGGAGTGGAGAGAGGTGCCAGCACTCGGCCTCGATCTTTATTAACATAGCATGACAAATTATCAATCTATCAGTGCGCGGACAGGGGTGCCTGCCAAAAAGATTATACAATGGGCAAAATCAATACACACATGAGAATCAGATGTTGGATTATTGCAACACTAGTAGTTAAAGGGTCACTTCACCCAAATCACAAAAGAACAGCAAAAGACACATTTTCTTACAAAGTCCTAGTGGTATTTAAGTATCCAGATAGTTTTGAATTTATTTAAGGGTATTCCTCAGAGATGGCTGCCTCCACAATGTAGATGAATGGATTTTCATTTTGTGTTATTACCATTAGTGCTGACAAAATGTCTCTCAAATGTGTTTGTAAACATATCTGTAATGGAGAGTCTTAATGCCTTGCAGGTATATTTCACTTTCTCCATTATCAGATACAACAACTATAAAGCAAAAAGGTGGTGATGTTGAGTGTGTGTGATACCTTTTATGAACTGGCCCTCTGAAGTTTGGGTCAAACTTGCGCGGCTCACCTATAAGACAAGCAGAGAATGGTCAGCACTTAATATGAGCTTGGGATAGTCAACACAGAACAAGAATACAAGAGTGTGACAAGAGTGCATATTCCGAAACATAGGCGAGCAGTAGTAATATCTGCTTCAACAACAAAATAAGATCAAAGACAGAAAAGCTTTTACTATGCTTCTGTTTCTTCTTTAATTGAGAGCAAAAGGAAATGTAGATGAGATGCAGAGAATAACATATCTAAATGGTTATGAGTGACATTTTATAGCACTGACACCATATACTATATTAATAAAGTGTGACAAGTTAACCTGCAGCACCATTCAACTGGCCAGGAAAAACTAAGTAGATCACTTCACAGCGCAGGTCTCCTACAGGAGCAGGACTGGGATAAAGAGGGATGATTATACTAAGCAAAAGAAGTAAAAGCCAAAACAATGTAGCTAACACTGAAATACAATAAATCACTTTTAAATCAACAACTCTTAAGCCAAAGAGCTTATCTGGGTCACAGTGGGTATTCCCCATTTGATCCAGCAGAGTACATACAGTACTGAACCTCGGTTGCAAGCACCATCAGTCACCCAAAGGGGGCTGATTCCGACTGTCTGCGCCTGAAAGTGTGATGGGAGCACGTGCATTTGCATTCATCATTGGTTGCTTCTTTGGTAGTCTCTACCCCAGTTGAAACTAAATATGACATGCCCCCGAGGACCTATTAATCATCACACATGGAGAGTAATATCTCCAAGCAGCTGGGGCAGAGTTACGGGCAGCATGAGTGGGCCTATCTCCCATCTGCCCATTCCCCAAACTGATCCTGTCGAGAGACGTATAAGCCAGGCTTTCTTCTAAAAGTATGAGGAATGAGTACACTGCACTATGTACATGCCAATCTGGTGGGCCTGCAATGAATGTGCTATGCAGAAGTGCTGAATATAATAAGCACAACCCATTTTTATATTTATCCACAAATCCAATGAAAAGCACAAAACCAACAGCAGATTCATCCTAATAACAAGTATTGTCAGTGCCTGATTTAGCTTCCGCCTCCATCCCATAAAGCCCCACAGTCATCCAAAAACTATTAAAAATACATTAAAAAGCCATACTGTTACACTGGGTGATATAATCTTTCATTACAATGAATATGGCCAGTGTAGTTTATTCTGGAACAACTCCACAATTGCATTTTTTTTATTTCTGGAGAGTAGCTCTCTGAGCTGTGAAGACTAACTAGCAGAAGGCTCGGACGTGAATGGAGAATGGAGAAGGACTCCAGAGGTGCACATATGAGCCCAAAAACGCAACAGCATATGGAACCTCACTGAGGCTGTTTTTTGCAGCATATGCACCCAGTAAGCAACTTTCATAGGAATGAAGGGGCACCATCTTTGAACGCAGTATCTAGTTATCCTTAATACATCCATGGCATGCACTGAGTAATAAACTAGCCGGACATTTTCGCGTTCATTAATTATCAATACTGTAGCTAATGTCTTTCAATGATGTTAACAAAATTTGCCATGGATGGAACATTAAATCCTCATGCTCCACTCCATGCTGTCTCTTTCACAAGACCTGCAGTGACAACACAAAAAAGTCACATCACACAGGTGGCTTTCCGTTTTATTGGATAAAGTGAACTTGATGGTTTGTTAGACATCATTTTACAGATTAATCAGGCAGATATCATTTAAAGGTAATCTGCATCAGCCGATACCTGCACTCATGAGGCCGATAAACAAAAAATGTCTGAGGACACATCTGCAGGCAGCCTCATCAGTGTGGCTGCTGTAGAATGATCTTAGCGCTCACTTGTGAGTTTCGAGCCCTAAATTTCCTCAGTCACCATCGTCTTTTCTAAATGTTAACACGTTTCTCCCATCCTTAACGACAGCAAATCTAAAACCATTACTGGCTAGAGTTAAATTATTGTATTACTGTGGTGGAGAATAATGTAGTTGAATGACATCACGTCTGACAAACTGTATCCCACGCTCTCTTAAACACCAGTCATGTACTGAAATCTACAGCATAACACCATGTATTTTTTCCATCTACAACAACCCGTTACGCGCTCAGATAACATATTAGATTGTACTCTGCATCAAATAATGAAATTATACATGAATTTTCTTTGTTTTGATATCAGAATTTTATCTCAGGTATCGGCCGCCCTTCTCTCTAAATATTGGCATTGATCACTGAAAACCCATATCAGTCAACCACTAATTGTCAGGGGTTTTCCTGGCTCAAAATGAGGCAGAGGTGGTACCTTCCTGATCACGTGCACACATGTGCATGTGTACTGGGCATCCAACTGGCTCAACCAAACACTTTTTTACAAGCAACGTATTTTAAGACTACTGATATAATGATATGATTGAAGAAAATGACAATTATCCCATTAATGCATATTTTATTACAAATTAAAAGGTACCCTGTTCAACATTAAATCAAACACAGCATAAAAGAAAATGTGTTCATTTACACAGTTAACAAGATGTTCAAATTAAATCAAATATAATATCAGCTGTTGTTTCATTTGTAGTTCACAGGGATCCTTTTGCAGTCTAGCTGATGTAAATTCCTGGATATTAAATTTAATCTGCAATTTTCTTTTGTGGTCTCAGTAATTCAGTCACTTCTTAATAATATCATTTGACATGTTTGAGCTATGTCTGAGATTGAGAACATTAAACTAATTTCTCTGGCAAAATATTATTTACTTATTTATTATTTATATTATTTGTAGATCTCCTGTTTATGAAGCATTTAAAATTTATTTTAACAAAGTAATTGTATCCCTCTCACACTTTTACAGGATAGCCTATCCCTTTTTATTTATTATTTTATTTACTTCCTAATTTAAATTATTTGCTTTTATCAGTACATTCAGAAGTCATGTTCTCAGATGTAGGTATTGTACCAAACTAATACGTTCTACAGATGTCAGTTTGAACTTTTGTTTTCGATAAAGTGGGAATAAAGTGGGAAATAAGTTGAAAATGAAAACTTTATTTCCTTACATTTCACCGGTGTAAACAAATGCACTCTGGCTTTATAGTCACTGTACAGGATGGCATTCAGTCACACATGTAGAGGTACATAGAGCAGCGTATGCAAAAGCCACTTGCAATGACATTTTTAAATGCCTACTGGCGATATAAAGCTATATTAAAACATAGAACGGCAAAAAAGCACTTTTGTTGTCTTTAGTGATTATTTTGAAATTATGAAAAATAATATTTATCTTTTCACTGTAACCAACCAAGTTTGTTCAGTATGATTTCTGAGGCATCTGATAGCCATTTGGCTTTTCAATAGCTATTTAGCTGATGCTAAGGCTAGCGTCTCTTCTGACAGCCAGAAGAGACGCATGCTGACATCACGTGTTGCCATAAGTGCTACCCTACAAGGCTGTTCGAAACCAATCAGCAAGGCAACTGCCTTCCGTTTCAAACACAACCATACTGAAGTAAAGCATGATCCCCTCCCTTCGGAGACTGGGCTGCAGGGCAGTATTCCAACATAACAACCCCAAACACATCTCCAAGACGACCACTGCCTTGCTAAAGAAGCTGAGGGTAAAGGTGATGGACTAGCCAAGCATGTCTCCAGACCTAAACCCTATTCAGCATCTGTGGGGCATCCTCAAACGTAAGGTGGAGGAATGCAAGGTCTTTAACCTCCACCAGCTCCGTGATGTCATGGGGGAGTGGAAGAGGACTCCAGTAGGGTTGGGCTGATAGACGTCCATCTGCGATGGCTGACAGACATCACAACGTTGAGCCGGCATCATGATTGTAAAACCCCTGCCCCACCCAGCACAGAAAATCTCAAATTTTCACATTATACCACCCTGTGAAAGCAGATTTTAATGACCATGAACATTCTTAGTATTGTCTTTAAGTATGCTTTGCACCTGCCTCGGAATTCGCTTCTCCCCACACTCTGACACACTCACACACACCTACACCTGGACTATGAGAAACACTGTGATACAACAAATTAGCAAAAAACAACAACAAAAATGAGCACAGTAAATACTGGCAGCTTCTCCTTAAAAATTTGCCAGCTTCATGTCCCTGAGTGAGCAAGTGAGCTACCACAATTGACAATTGTCCGGTCATGGAGGAATTCCCTCTTGCTGTAGCAAAAAAAAAAGTTTCCAATTTTTCTGCATGAAGACAAGGTATTAAAAAGCGAGGATGTTACACACATTTGCTTGTGTGAAAGCCGATATATTCATGCCTGCCTTTCCCCCCAAGGATTCCTCTACCACAGCAGTGGTAGTCTGAAGGATACAGATACCAAATTTCAGCCAATTTCTGCCAAAAGTGACTTGCTCAACAATAACCCAGGTGTCCACAGTGGCTAAAAAAATGCACTGGACCAGAAATGTACTCTTGTCATCCATACAAAGTGTACGTTGGAAAGGGGCACAAATGATAGCAGATGGAGAACTACATGTGTCAGAGCTTACAGTTTGACTTTAAAACACTGCCGGTCTCATGACGACATGGGCTACGTGCAATTACTGAAGCGCGAGGACATTTCTTACATGCATTGTCAATATGATTATAACCATTTCAGCTCTTCGTCAACAAGTCAGTGTGAGCTGCTAACCTTTCTTTTAAGATATTTGAAATGAGAGGCTCCATGTCTTTTTTTCTTTTGTCCTTGCTGTAAAAAACAAAACAACCCTATTTTAAAGCCATCTGTTTGGCTGTCGCTGAAAGTCACTCACTTGAGTTGTGTTTCAGGTCTAAAAATGGGAGATGTTCTGGTTAAGTGCGTGATTTCTCAGCCAAGGACACAATGTCACGGGACCAGGTGCTCACTGCAGCATTTGCAGAGCACTGGCTTTGAATATGAGAGAATGCTACTTCGTATTTCAAACAAGGTCTGCGCACAAATTATGTCATCATCATCCATATAATCTTGTACAGTGATACAGATTGAAACAGTCATGAATGATAAGATAACTATTTTTCAATAGTTT